TAAAAATTAAATAAAAACAAAAAAGTATTTTAACAAATATCAGTAATCTTTTTTTTTTATAATTTTTTAATTATTTTGCTTTAGGCTACCAAAAAAAGATTATTCTGTAAGGAAGTAGGGAAAAAAAAGAACAATGACCTAAAAATAAAATAAATAAAAATAAATCAAAAAACTTACGTTTTACGTAGGCTTGCTCTAAAATATATACCTAAACATTTATATCAACGCTGAGAAAATTAAAAAAAATATGACAAATTCACTTTGATCGAAAGGGAACGACGTATACGTAGAAAGTGACACTCACAACGTAAAGTTATAAAAGCCAAAGAAAAACCTTCGTTTTACAGGATCCCACACCATTTAACCTAAATCTCGAGGGCTTCGCTCATCCACTGAAAATCAACCAGCAACTAGATTTTTATGAGTTAGACAAGAAGTAGAGGTTGTCTTCTAACAGTAAATTTAAGAAACCAGGATCTTCAAAGACAGTTTTTCACAGGGAAATGATAGATAGGTTTAAGAAGTATGCGAGGAGGTGCTTAGTGTGATGCTAATACTCTAACTACTTCAAAATCAGATGACTGGGCTCTTTCTTCTTTCATTTTCTTGGTTTTTAATCCGTCACGAGTTCGCAGAGGCGGCAGTAGCTTCCCGCTAGCTGTCTTAGTTTATCTCTGGAGTCTGATAACCTGCCTGGACCTTGCCAAGTTGTATCGTTCCAGATCTTCATTTGGCAAAGTCCAGACACTTGCAACTTTCAGCGTTTCTTCTCTTCGGAGTTAATGGTATGTGAACACACTGCAAATTCTGGCTTTGTCTATTCCGCTTTCCTAGCCTTATGTCTAAGCTATGTTCTTCATACTACATTAAACATAAAAAGACATTACATTCAACTTGAAAGAGAGGTGTTATCGAGCTCAGAAGATCATACTGAAGCTTTTTCTTATGCCAGCTTTGAACACGGAAATTCGCCGATGACTTCAAAATCAATATATTTTCATTAAAAAGAAAGAAACGATTAGTGTACGAAGTATATGGTCAATTTGAGAACATAAGGTTTAAATTAAAACTAAAGATTAAACATTTTATACGGAGTGAAAGTAAAAATGAAAGTAATCGTAGTAGTAGTAGTAAAACTGGTCGGGGACTGGTTCTAATAGAATGCTATAAATTGTGGGCAATAGGTAATAAACCAGCTGAAGAATTTAGAACCATTTGAATAACTTGCTCAGGCTTAAAAGAGTGTTCCGCTTACAGTCAAAACAACAACAACATTATTTACATTTAACAATAATTATGAATAATTTTAAACGATTGCAATTATTTTTCAAACAATTTATTTCCTTTTTCCTCTTTTAAATCATCTTTTTAATTGTTACTGTAAGCATTTAAAAAAAATGTATAAATGCAAATGAGATTCAATTTGCGGTATATAGTGACACTGCAAACTCATTAGTCAACTGCCATCAAACAGATGCGAATAGTAGTAAGGTTAGCACCGCTTTTAGCAAGTGGTTTTTCGCAGTTGTTAGTCAGAGCTTGTATTGCTCAATGAACTAGCAGCTGTTTTCTTTCGAATATTAATTTTTTAATACAAACTTTTGTAGCCTGAGTTGCATAACTATAAAAAGGTGATAATCACACATAATATATTGATATTAATTTAATATTGTATCCACATGGAGTGTTTATGCATGTACATATGAATGTATATTTATATTTAGCGATTTAGACTTTGCAGAGGTGTGTATTACCTGTTTTTAATTTAGATAATCTTTTAATCAATATTTAAGTCTGGTAAGGATTAAAGTTACCGTTCGTATGAAAGTCGATTAATTTACAATCAATGACACATCAACAGCATACTAAAAAATTATACAACAAAGTTTATGAAGTAAAATTGTCATTTTCACTATGCGAACTTATATCATACACATACGTATCAAATTTGCACACAAGTTTATTTTATATTTTTTTTTACTGCAAATTTTCCTTTATTCTAGTTCAACGAGCAAAAAATTAAAAAGTATGCTAGACATTTCAACTATGGCTCACTTTTATTATGAACCTCTATGAGATTAAATAAGTAGAAACCAATATTTGCGGTTAAATTTTGCGAGCAAATCAATAAGCCAAAAACTTTTTGCCCAAAATAGAACTTAAACCACTGGCTTTTCAGCCAACCACACAGTATATACATACATACATATAAAAGTATGTAGTCAGTATTTATTTATATGCACGATTGCAAAAATTTGTCCACAATGTACCGAGTATGCTTTTTACATATGGTACATACATATTTGACTTAAATGTAAACAAAATGAATTTTACAACAATGGAAAACAATTTTGACCGAAAATTCACATTTTTCTTCTTGGGGTCAACAAATCTGTTTTTATTAAATGTCTACTTTTATGAAAGTTATAAAAATTTAAATATATCTTTGGCACTCAGTTTTAATATTTACTTTTAGAAAATGTTATTAGCATACAATATTTACTTTGTTTGCATGCAAATGCAATCAAATTTGTGTTTATTTAACGTTTTGGTTACAAATTTTTATATGCAAATATGTGAGTGTAATTCAAAAGGAAAATAATGCAAAATATATAATATAATTTAAATTTGTATACCTTGTATATAAATACCTTATAAATTGATAATAAATGCTACTATTTTTTATTAGTATTTCTCGGTTATTATTTTCGGAAATACTCGGCAGAGTTATAAAATATTTTCCAGAAATTTCTTTTAATATTTTTATGTGTACAATTTGCATTCAATTTAGTTGTATTTGCTTTAGTTTTTCTATACATATGTATATATATTTAAAGAAACAAACAAACTGCTGCTGTATACTATATAGTACGTATAAATAAATACAAATTGATACAGCAAATTAATCAACGTTTACGACAATACGATTGTGATAACAAATGACACAAATAACTAAAATGCCGTCGTAGTTGACAGTCTTAACGACAGTTTGCTATTTTCAATTTATAACAAAGAAAAATCTTCACATTTACAAAGTTTTAATGCATGTACGCTTAACGCAAAGAATACATTGGAACCCAGTTAAACGCTACAAAAATTCCAATTGTGAAGATATAATTTTTGCAAACAAAATTTCGCGGTAATAACCGACATTATGCTTTTTTTCTTTAAGCTGCCGGAGTTAATTTTAAATGCAAAAATAAAACTAATAAATATAAATATTGTGTGTATATATGTATGTACATAATTCAATCTATTAGATCCGGGAGAGAATAAAAACAAAGTAAAATCACATTATTTAATTTGTTTTTAAGCATGTTTGACTGTAGTTTAGACTTGCAAATTATTTTATACATATTAAGTTATTTTGAACTCAATTATATTTATATTTTTTGATAACGAAGCCTGATACGCAATTGTTTTCAATTGTATGTTGCTCCCGGTTGCAAGTTTTAAAATTAGAAATTTATTTAAATGCAAATGTATGACAATATGAGTAAACACTATAGAAGGTCTTAAGCTTTTTAATCCGGAAGTCAATCTTAAAGCGTATGCTATACACACAAAGTAATTTGTTTTCATTAGCTAAACTTTACTGGTTAAAATTAGTGATCCTTCCAAGAGACTATTTTATATGATTAATACCAGGAATTTAATTGCAGGCAAATTAAACTAAAATTGAAGAGGATGCCTACCAGATGCTACCTGAACTTAATTTTAAAAAAGTTTTAGAGAATCAATAAAATACTGAAAAAACGATAGCAAACATTTTACTGGCTGGTTACTTTTCAGCATGTGAAAGTGATTGAACTTAATTTAGTAAATAAGTAGTTCGCAGATATTTCAAGTACCACCTTTATAAGGAGGTATGTATGCATATAAGCGGGCGCTGTGTATTAATCATCTAAAGTTTGTAAATAACAAATGCAAAAAAAAAATCTTTGTTATTACGCATAGCACCTGCTTGTATATAATTATTACTATTCTTTAAAGTACTAGTTCAACGCTTTTTTAACGCTATATAATTTATTATATATATGTAGAATGTAAATGTTAAAGTGAAATTTCCAACAAGCAATCCATATAAGCGTTAACGTTGTGTCGCAGTGACTATTGTAAATTAGCACTAGCAAAAGCAATATTTATATTTATTTTACGTACTTCATCAGCTGCACCGGCCTCCTGTCCAGCAACAAGCACCGAGAGGAGTGACAGCGCAACAATTGTGACTGTTACACCGACGGCGAGACGCATTTTGCTTTGTTTAATTTCTATCTGCACTATATGTAGCCAATATAATCACAACTCTGTTTTATCACTATTACAATAGTAAATTATTATAAGTCTTTAATAATTTTTGCTTTGCAGAAATACACGTTTGGCAACTAATGCGTCTCAAATTTTTGGATTCACAGAATAATCTTAACACCTGACACTTGGAGCAAATTTTTACCACAATAAACTAAACACCTGAAAATTCACAAGAAGACTGAAATGAAAACAGTTGCGAATGTTCAGTGAAAGCGTAGTTATATGCAGAGTTGCAGCTGCTGTCGAAAATTATTGCAGGGTTGTATAGAGACGACTTAAGGTAATTGATATCTAAAATTATTGTAATATTGGAAACAAAACAAAAAAAACCGAATTCGACAAATTATTAACACTTTAAATCATAATTTAAATTTTTTTGCTGTTTTGACAGTGTATTTTTATTACAGTACTAAGAAAATACCACAAAACTAATCTAGCATTATTTGAGATGTCAGAATAAACACATTGAAATAAATCATATTGTTAAATAACCGGAAGCGTTCGAATTAATTTCCGGTATGTAATTCCTTTTTAGAAAAGAATTAGACTTTTTTTAATAGGAGTTTCTAAGGATAATGTAAATTCACGAGTAGGGAAATTCCTCCTTTATGGCATTTGTTAAATAATTAGACATGGTGACGTGGGAGAATTATAAGTTGAAATATAAGTACCGCCAATGCGTGTGCATATACCTATATATATATATATTACGCATAAACAACATTTCTTCGTAAATTTTGTGGTTATACTAATAAAAGATTGCTTGTTACAAATAAACGATAAATAGTCGGACAATGGCTGAATGCAAATTAACCTTGGTTACGTTGGTTACCAAAAAGCTTATACACCAATAAACTGAAATTATTGATAAATCAACAAAATAAACGAAAATTTAATAGAGTAGTACCTGACACAATTTAAAAACAAAGTGCATACTTAATTCGATAAATAAATAAAGTTTAATTAAATGCAAAAAAATTAGAACTATATAAGTGATTAACACTATGACTACGCGGATTAGTAGATCCTATTTACATTCTTGCTTAAAGGTACCAATTGATCCGTGTAATAATTGTCCAGCGCCAATTTATAATCGTCCAAAGATGTATTTAGGCCGACTGACAATGACACCATTATGTGGCACAGCAAAAACAGCAAAGACTGCCGAGTTGGAACATGTGGACTCTGCATTGGTTAACAGTGGCATACGTTCCTTGGCGAAACTTTACGATAGTATACCAAGTAAAACATTTGAGTCTTCAATTCCAAAATATTTACTGATTTATTTATTTAATTGTTTTCCATAATTAGATTACAATGACATCAACCATTTACCGAACGAAGAATTTTACTCCACATTGGACACCTTGCGGTCCACTTGCTTTGAGTTGCGAACCAAATCAGCACAAACGTGTATAGTGGAGGAGAGTACATCGACATCTTCTCTATCTTCTCACTGCGCTAATAGAAAGCGTATGAGGGCAAGCAAATTGGGCAAGCATATACCTACAACAGGCAGTGCTTGTGGCAAAAGAAAAACAGGAAAGTGTAAATTAAAAGAAGAATTAACACGATCAAGTTGCAAAGTTGATGCAAGATGCAAGTTGGGAACTCCTTTTGGTACTACCACCAAAATAGATTTTGCAAAGAATATTGCTGTAAAGAGGTAAGTATTTAATTTCTAAAAGTTCATAAATGCATACGAAAAGTATATTTATCTGATTAAATGAATCTATTTCAGCTATAAAGAGGAGTTTGATGACGAAATAAAGGCATTTCAAAAAACTTTGGAAGATTTCGAAGGAGAACTCAAAAGTCGTCATAAAAGTGCTACCTTGACCGATTGCAAGTTGAAGAATTCTAAAACTGAACCACTTGTAAATATAGGGAACTATACTAAATGCACAGATAAGTAATAAACTGGGAACAATTGACATAAATATGTTTATACTAAAACTATGATATTCCTGCAGGCCCCCAGTAACACCGGATCTTGCTAATTTTCGTAATATTTTTAAGCAAACTACTGAAAAAGCACGTCCCTGCTCCAAAGCGAGTACTAAGAGTTTAAGAAGTTTTTTAAAAAAGTCTTTCTCCTTCGATGACATAAACAGAGTAGCAGATTGCAAGCATAATGAAAATACCGATGACAAAAATTTGTTGAATAAACAATCAGGCCCGCAAATTCTTATAAATCGAACCCCTTTAAAATTCAGTAGTTATTTTTCACCAAAGACAAGCATGTAAGTACATAATTAAATATACAGGCAAAATACTATTTTATAGCTTCTCCGTAGTATTTCACCAAAAAATTTTCCACCGAAAATTGTTGTCGAGTCGCCAAGTGAGAAAAGTAATTCTACTAAAACTTCTGGTCGCTCAAGTACAAGTGGACGAAAAAAGAAAGGCAAGGATAAAAAACAACAAAAAGACTTTCAAGTTCCATTTTCAATATTCAACTTGGATACGAAAAAAGAAATTAGAAAGGTGACTTTTTAAAATTTAAACTTTGATATGGTTGTTGCTGTAGCAACCTTAATTATAGCACGTCACACCGTCACCCATACATCCGGTAGCGCGGCCGAATCTTGCAGCTACGTTAAGGGTTGAGGTCTCAAAAAAGAAACTGAAAGAGCTGAAAAATAATTGTACTTATTATGACGACACACCACAATTTGATTGGGAAGTGAGAAAAACGCCGGCATGGAGGTCACTATCTCTCAAGTTAGTAACTTAGCCCTAAGTTTAAGTAGTGCAAAGTATTACCATCTATATCATTTGCTTGTTATATTTCAGTGAAAGTCATAAGGAGATCCTCTCTATGCGTTTGGCCACCCGTAAAGCCGAACAGGCATTGCAACAACGTGATTACGAACTAAACATGGAATTGATGCGTCAAAGGGTCAAATCAGCACCACTACTTTTGGAAGGCGCAACATTTTGGGGTCCTCATATTGGGAAACTAACGCATACATGTCAACGCGAAGGAGAAAGACACTGGTGTCAATCAAAACAACGTAAATCGCGTAGCAAAAGCGCTGACAGCCGAAGATTATGCACCCATGATGGTATGGATAGTCAGTCCAGTCAACGAAGTAGTAAATTAAATTTCCTGCATAAAACATATGGTGGCAGTTCAAAAGCACGCAGGCGCAGCTCTTCACAAACCCCAGTGAGAAGAAATACTGAACAGCCTGATGAAAAGCAACGTGTTGAGCAGCCTGAAGTTATAAATGACAGTGGTGATGAACTCTCTAGTCTGGATAGAGCATTCTTGTAAATATTCTAATCAAAAATTCATTCCTATGTATATTTACAATACAGTGTAAATGTTTAATAAAAAATGTATGTACTATGTATTGTATTTACTGTATGTGTAAAAGAGATTTGCTGCCTTAAGATAATTTTTTATTTATGTAGCCTCTATTATTACTTTTTTAAATTTATCTTTAAATTATCAAAATTATCAACAAAAGTAAATGCAGTTTTATCGTCGTCAGTTAAAGGCGCATTGCCTGGTCGGTTTAGTAAAGCAACCTGCATTCCAGCATCGTGAGCTGCTTCAGCCTCTGAAAATAAGAAATATGTTAATACAACAGACAAACGCATACACATTATATTTTTACCTTTTACTATATCAGTTAGGAACAGTATGTCTTCCACTGGTAAATCCAAATCTTTGGCTATATTTACATACGACTCTTTTTGTTGCTTATGACCAACGGCTGTGTCATAATGGCCGCTAATATAGGGTAGTAGATTTCCCATCACTGTTTGACCAAAGAGTAGTTGTTGTGCCTTTACACTACCACTAGAGTAGATAGCGACGCGTAGACCAGCCTCATGCCATCTCTTAAATGCTGGAAGCACATCAGCATAAATGCTTGTGATAACCGAGAAAAACAGAAAGTTAAATAATGCTTAATATTGTAATAACAAAAACAAGTCTACTTACTGTCCTTTAATGTTACCGTTTGCATAACCTTTCGCCCAAACCAATCCTTGAAGAGTTTTTAATGGCCCTAATTTAAGATCTTTTTCTATAAGAAAATTAACAAAACTGGCTACATTCCCGGGCGATGCGGAAGGTTGTTCATCAACCGGTCTCAAGTACTCCTTGTATTGTGGTAGGTTGCGTAGATCCTGTACAATACTTTGTGTCTCGGCATTATTCCAAGTCTCTTCTAGAAATGCCTTGGAGTGTGCTTTTGCATAGGGAAAGAGCACATCCTGTAATAAGCAATAAACGCATTCAAAAAATTATCATTGCAATAAATATTGTCTATGACTGCACCTTTACAAAACTAATGGATGTCGTGGTTCCCTCAATATCGCTGAGTATTAATTTCACTGTGAATTCAGGCATACCAATTTAGTTTATCCTAACCGAGATTAATTATTTTACAACAATACCTGGAGTGATAAAGGAACAGCTGAAAGCATATCTCCAATTCTCACTGGAAATCTACTGATAACATAAGTGCTGCCAGAACAAGAGTAAAATGCCACATTACAATTACATATATAAATGCTTAACAGCGCGTTAAGGTAATAATTAGCAAATAAATTGCAATTATTGAGTTTTGGGATGATTAATATTAACCCATACCTGTGTTTAGATTTTAATTCAGTTTACTAGTTCATTTTGATACCTGTCCCTTTTGAGTATTTCGTAAGCATCCTTGCAGTTTTTAACATACGGCAATACTTAATTTTTGTTATTGGCCTGTTTCATTTATTTTCAATTTGCTTTCTACTTGCATTTATCGCTTTACGCTTTAAACAATGTCAACGATTTTCACCAATTTGACGTTTTTGTATCTTCGTAATTCAGCATGTCAAATTTGCACGAAAATTTTGTGAAAGTGTATCTAAAGCCGTTAATTGCATATTTAGCAAAACAATTTTTATTTATTGACGATATTTGTGATATTCTATATGCTATAGTGTGATATGAAATTCGGCAATTACAGAAAAACCCTAGATTAGCTTGCGCGTCTCGTAAAATTCCTAAAATAGAACTGCATTAAATTCAAAAGCAGGAAGAAGAGCGAACCTTGAAGAAATAAATATAAATTCTTTTCAAGACCAGTAATAACATATCAATTTGGTAGTATACTCGAAGAAGCAGCAAATTTATTAATTTACTTAATTTTTTCTTCATGGTAATAATAGTTTTGTCGAATCGCAATGGATGGAAATATAAATACAACAAATGACACTTTTGCAACAGAGACAAAGTCAACAAAGAGAAGTAGCTCAAAAGCTATTTAGAGCGTTTGATAGGCGATTGTGTCTACGTGATTTAACCACAAAATTTTATAAATATTTGAGAGTGCAAGAGTAATCCACTAATCATAGCATCAACGGAAGCGTTATCAGCTAACACACGAGTTAGGGGGTTAAAGTGAAAATTGTTCTGTCACCGACTCGTAGGAGCGGGTGTATACTATGAGCTCTGATTTAACCCTCACATCGCTCTATATGCTGTAATCAATAGGCATATATTCAAGCTAATGTAAATAAATATTTTGCCAAACAGACTTGTCTTAAGACAAAAAAAACTTGGAAAAGTGTAATACAAATACGATAAATGCGGCAAAACAGCTGCAAAACTACTTAAAATAGTTCAACACGTTTTTATACAAATGCTATGACAAAGGGAAAGAGCAGCTGCAATCGAGGTGCGAGATAAAGAAGAAATAGTGCAAAGTGTAAATCAAAAGACATATCCACTACTGAAAGTAAGGTCCCTGTCAAGGTTAAATTGAAGGCATACACTCTTTGGAGGTCAAAGAAGAATAGTATTTCAGGTTTTAACAAGTGTATATATGAATGTCAAGTTGAAAAGTTTATTTTAAACGATCACCTCAACATAAAATCGAAAGTTGACATTGTTAAAGCTCAATTATTAAAAAATGGAAAAATTTCCACAGTGTGCCATTTGCGGTACAACGCAGCAATTGTTGCGTTGCGCCAAATGTAAGTCGATTTTTTACTGTTCCACGGCACATCAGCATATGGACTGGCCCATGCATAAACAGTCTTGCCGCATGTTAGCCAAACAAAGGAATGAAAATCGCATGCAACATCTGCAACAGGCTGTTGCTGCTACCACACTTAGCAATACAATTGCGCCACCAATGGCCACAACAAGCAACGGTGTCGATGCTGGTCACCATCGCTGGACAACACCCACAAATGATATGGCTATTATAGGTTTTGGACTACTTGGCGGTAACGAAAGTGCTGAAGTTGATCCGAGTATACTAACTGCAGTGCCACCCATGGCTGTGATGATGGGCAGCAATGACAATGGCGTTGCATACAATCAGTCAAATGGTTTGGCTAACGAAACAAATCCCAACCAAATATTAGATACTGGTGGTACAGTGACCGGTGCTGGTATTATGCAAAACAATACGTCATTATGCATGCAACCGCAATATCACCATGTAGATCAACGTTTGCTATCGCCGCAATACCATCAACAACAACAGCAGCTAATGCAACAACAGTTGCATTGTCAACAAATCTCGTCATCGCATACACCATATACAGCTAATCTTACCAACCATAATACGCATCATCATTATGAGAAAAGTATCAGCTGTCAAGTTGGAAGTGGTGGTGGCGTGGACGAAAACGCTTTTGGAAATGCAAAGTGAGTAAAGTTTTTTTAAACTATCATATAAAAATTTTAGTGTAATTCTAATAGTCTTAAAAGTGATTGGTATACCTATGTTTTGAAAACTTTAAAATTAGCAAGGTGTATACGATTACTAAATAAATAAATAAGCGTTTTGTCTATGTTCAGTTTTCGGACAATATGCCACCATAATAATAACGGAAATTATTATTTAATGTTTATAATTAACTCACCCAACGTTACTTTACGGCTTTATCAGTAAATTCTTTCTTCTTCATCTTTATCGCCATTTAATTGCTGCTAATTTTGTATATCATATTGTCCGATTGAAAAACTAGTGAAGGTGCATATGACTCACCAATCGGGTTGAAAGCTTGAAAACTAGGCAAAAACAATAATCCTTTTTAGATGCTAATTACTTATTAGTTAACTATTTACAACCGCAGATGAGCGAATAAATATAATTTTTCCCGATAACGACAATGGATTTTCAAAATAGCGCGTTTAATTAAATGTAGCTACCTTTAAGAGTTCTTGATGCGTCCACCGCTATTGCCGAAATAAGACTAATACGCGTTTTATTATTTCTAAATGAATTTGTCCTATCTTGGCATTATAAGCTTCTGATATACCATTGTACATAAGTATATATGCACCTATCCTCAGCTACATAAACTGTTTACTGTACCTTATTATTGAATTGTATATGCGTGGCCTAAATAGTATTATAGATAAATTTATTTCAGTTATATTTCCATACATACATAAACCTATAGTTCTAATAAAAATGTGTTCTATTTACTAAAATTAAGTTATTTATCAAAAATTGTCGAAACTTTATTGAAAATGTTATGTGCTATCTTTCTTAATACATAATCGTACCGTCTTTTATGTAGGTTTGACTATTGATATTTGAAGGATTGTTGACGCACCTTACATGACCAATGTGTTAGTTTAGATATTTATAGATACTTTTAGTTTTGCGAAGTTGCATTTAGTGCCTCAATTACAAAACTTTGATACTGTAAGCAGTCAATCTGCACACATCCCTGCATACATCATATTTTAATTAATTTATTTTTTTTCTATTCGATTTGATTTGTTTATATTTTCAAGAATTCCATACACTCATTTCGTGTTTATTGCTAGACGTTTTATTTTTGAGATAAGCGAGTACGTGAGGAATGTATGTCATCAGCTTTTGTCGCTATCGTTTTAATCTCTGTCTCTATTTATTTTAACAGTTTTCCAAGGCAAACGTGAACTTATAACTTATTCAGTGTTTTCAACTGCACAAAATAAGTCAGTCAAAATAAATATATATACATACATATATTATCTATATTATTACTTTATTGGCTGCCACCTCTTCCGAATTTCACGTGAAATTGCTTTAGACGTCACTGCTAATCACTTTAAATACATAATTTCTAGTATAAACTGTTTAAAGCACAATTACCGTATGCTTCTATATATGCACACACTTACGTTTTGCTGAGCTGGTCATTAAGAGCTCGACTTGCCGGCTACTGTGTCTGTTTCGGATAGACTTAACTCTGTATGTGTTCTTTTATTGAGACGCTCAGCAACTATGTACATTTGTAAGTATATGCGCAAGAAAATTTCTTGATTATCTTTTCAAATGTTTATGCCTGCTCCGTTGGCACTAATGTGTTTTCTTGAGAACTCGTATTATTAATTAATATTGTTTTTTAATGTGAGGTTTTTCAATTACCCAACTACACCTCAACGGATTCACACTGCAGTGCAAAATACAAACACATTTTGGTCAGGATTGCGAAGTTTTCAAATTAAAAAACTTGAGTTAAAATCTAAATTTTAATATTTAGTTCCAGTTTCGGGATTATGCTCTAGAGTATTGAAGATGAGGGCTCTGTGCTAGCTCTAGTTCCAAATGCTAGAACAAAAAGTATGCAAGCGGTAAAATGTAAATTCTAAAAAAATATATTTTTTTAATTATAAACTTGAGATTAACATTTTTTTTTATATTTTTCAATGTGGTATTTGAAATTACTATTTTTTTGTTTTTTGTGGGACCAAACATTATTTTAAATTTCTTTTGGGGTTTAAAAACTTGAAAATTGTTTTTAATTAAAATTTACAAAATAATTAAATAATTATTAAAAATGTTAATTAAATAATTTTTTGTGCATTATTTGCAACTCTGATTTTGGTGCAAAGTATTTAAAATAATATATTTATACGAAGTATTTTTATTTTATTTTTTATAAAAACTTAGACTTAAAATTATTTCTAGTACTTGTGTCTTTCACATTAAAATTGCTAGCTATTGTCGAGGGACATGTGAATCTGCCTTGTAGTCAGGTTTATATGACCGTTATCCACATTTCTATCTGGCTATGCTCGGCTGTTTTACCAAGAGCACACACAGTTGTTGCTGTTGTGACTGCCATTGCTCGTTTAAAATCTGGTTCTCTTCTCTTTACGGATATTCGACTGGGCACAGAGAAGAACCAAAATGTAAGATGACAAAAATGTTCGCTTCGACGACAGTCGGGTCTAAGTAACCGGAACGGACTAGGAATTTTAACCGGCCAAGGACTGTCTACTCGGCACCATTCCTCGAAGTTACTTCAGGAAAGTTTTCTGCCAACAACAACAACCACATGACAAAAATGTATCTTTCATGGACCATATGTGTTGTAGTGACATCATGCATCATAATAGCACATGATATTCGGGTTTACATAATCGGAACGAACCAAAATTTTTTTCCATTCACAGACTGTCAACTTGGGCGCATTCCTCAAAATTTTTTGGCTACAACAACCACATAACAATTTAAGTGCTGGACGTAGATGGCATAGAATAGATGGAACAATTTACTGATTTTATGTTACAGCTAATGATTTTTACAACATTTTTTTTAACTACTTTAAAAATATACTTTCTCATTTTTCCCCAACATTGTACATTTATACCTAGGTATGTGCGCTAATATTCCATCTTTATGGGCTTACCCACTTGCTGCGCAAATTCCTAGTACTGTTGGTGTTTTTTTTGCAGTCTGTTTGAGTGCCGTATATACATTTCCAGCAATAACAACCCGTTACTCCACATAGTACTCAAGCGTACCTGACATCATATGCAATTCCGAGAGTTCAAGGCACAGTGCTATCAGCAACTAAATGTTTGCAATTGCCTGCACATACATACATACATATTATAATTTGTGTGTCAATAAAATATAAACGTGAACAAATATTTAGATACATTTACAAATGTGTTAACGGTTTTGTAAGAAATGCGATAAAGCCCGATAAATCAGAGACATTAAATTTTACTTCTGTATGATACAAGAGGCCTTTATAGGAGCCGGGGTCAAAATTGGACAATGGGCGTGGCACCGCCCACATTTAAATGAAATCACATATCTTCAGATCTACTTGACTTATTTCAACCAAATTGGGTATATAACATAATCCTCCTATGTGACATTGTGAAAATGGGCAGAATCGGATTACAACCACGCCTACTTCCCATATAGCACAATTTTAAATTCCGTATGATTCATTCACTTCCCAGTACACAAATCAAGCAACAATGAATATATTCGGATAAAACTTTGCACAAATAGCGCCTTTGAGGTATCCTTGCACGTTGCAAGAGTATAAAATGTACCGTTACACCCGAACTTAGCTCTTTCTTACTTGTGTATTTTTAGAATGAGTAAAAATGAAATTAAAGCATAAATTTAGAATTTTTCACGAAAGATATTTTTAAACTTGATTCACTGGTCCATTGGATCAGTCGTTCAATCCACTAAGCTACGTTACACATGCATATCAAGTGAAACAATAAAGAAATAATCAAAAGATGAGCTGTTATCCTGCATTAAGCTCAAATAATTATGTGAAATTCCCGAAAATGTTAAAATACATACAGACAATGTCAATAACAATCATACAACCACACTTTTTAAGATTTTTCTAATGCAACTATACCTCGTTCAGGTAAAAAAAAACTCTAAAATATTGATTGTTCAATCTGAAAATTATTTAATAGTATTCAGTTCACAGCCTTGAAAGAAACATATTTTCATAAAAATTCTTTGAAATATTCATGCATTCGTTTTCGAGCACCGTTTTTAAATCGGACTCGTCAATAACTCCTTAATGTGTAATTTAGGTATTGTATCCAAAAGATCATCACTACAAAATGCATTTATATGTTTTATGCCTTTATATATGATTTGTTTTCAAAATGAAAGTTTTTTTTCGGGATCGAAATTTTTATTTTCCGAAAAACCAATTGTATGACTAATTTTAAAAATTAAATTTTTATTTTTCTAAACATTTTGGAGCAAGATTTGTAAAAATTTATAAACATTCAGTAATTCTGAGATCTATTGGATTTATATTTCTATAAAATTTTCACTTTTATTATATTCTTCCTATAGATCTAAGAGTTTCTTTAGGATACACATAGATCACTTTGTATTCGTCCGCAAGCCCTGAGTTTGATCTCAGCCCCGAGTAGCAGAAAAAGTTTTTTGTATTACAGTCATGAAAACAAAATCCATCAGCAATTCAGAGAAGACTTTAGAAACCTCCATTCTCAGGAAAACATGACGCTATAAAAGAGGAAGGCTAAGCTTTAAGCAAATGTGGAGGCGATAAATACTTATGGCTGCATATGTACCATATGTAGGGAGAGAGATATAGAAAAAGAAAAGTATTCGGTTTGCTTATTATCAGTACTTTTCTCACTTTTGACTTCTCCAGGCGCGATTTTTTGGCTTTCGGCTCATTTCTCATTTATGTCCTCACGACCGCTTTGAAAACGTTGAAACCACTCGTGCACTCTGCTACGGGATAGGCAATCATCGCCATAAACTTGTTTCATCAACTGAAACGTTTCGGCAAAAGTTTTACTAATTTTAAAACAAAATTTAATGTTGGCTCTTTGTTCAAAGCTCATTTTCGCACCAATGACAAAAACATACTGACACTTAAAACGCAATAACTTTACTTCCAATTACTTTACTAGAAGTCGATAAAGGATAGCAGATTCTAACGCACTAGTCGATATATAGATGGCGCCACTAGAGTTTACTTTGTTACTTTTTTACTGTTTACTTTGGAACGCACCTTGTATATTTATATTCATATACATAACACATATGCTTCAACTTGTCAATTGATCACAGTTTAATCACATATGTATGTTTATATAACTACAAAATTCTACGAAAATAGCGCTTATTTGTGCATTTAGTACTTGTAATTGCTATTGTATTGAAAAGTCTGCGGTTTTTTCCTCATTATCAAGTTATAAAAATGTAAATAAATATTTTGTTAAATTTAAAATGAAAATGACATAATAATACATTTCT